CCAGAGTGAGTGATCATGTCGTAATAGAGTTCCAGATAAGCTTGAAATCGTCGGCGTTGTCGGAATTAATGACATTAGTCTGAACTGATGAGTCCAGTTTGGCCACAATGATGGATTTGAGGAGTTTATTGTCCTCAGAAGGAAGCTCTTTCTTTGAATCGCCAACAATTTGCTCCTTGAGTCCAATGAGGTCCAAAAGATTCACGACACGCACACGCCACAGAGAGTAGTTGTCATTTGTCAGGAGGGGAATTCCCTCAATAGAGGTTTTGAGAACGGTGGAACTAACTTTATCCATTGCGTTAGAAAGAGTAGTCGTAGGAGGCTTCTGGTTTTCTGTTTTAATCAAGACTTGAGGAATATTATCGGCACTGGACATGTATTGGCACTTCAACTGTTAATTGTGTAGAGGTTAAAATTTTATTGCTGAAACAGAAACCAGAGACTAACAGACCTTTGTTCAAGAGACTGAAGAGAGTCAGTGAGGGACAAGGGAATGAAGTGATGGAGTTTTTTTGAGTCATCTGATTAGGTTTCAACAGCGGATGATTTGGTTTTGTCATTAATCATCTTGCTGCAGCATTGGGTTTCACAGAGAGTTCAGCTGGGTTTCATGGATAGAATTGACAAGTTTCAACAAAAGGCGAACAGATATCAATTCAAGTGACATCCATACAGTTCTCAGGAGGTGCATTTTAGGCTGATGTTGTTCATGATGCGCACAGAAGAGGGGACTTAGAAAAAAATCTGCATTGCAAATTGATCTTTCCTTTGCGCAGCACATGGCCGCAATTATGATAATAGGCCATTTGCACAACATCATTTCACAACCTCAATATGAGAAAGTGCGTGCACTAGTGGCCATCTTTAATCTACATTTACCCCATTGGACCACTTTTTTCAAAAACAAGGCAAGTGTTCATGAAACACTCAACATAAAACTAAATGAGTCCATTAGTGTGTTTGGGAATAAGTGCTTTTCCTTGAGGCTGAAAGACATCCTGTCTGGAGTAATTTTTTTAATCTTTGGCCAATATATTCTTACACACACTGATACTTTTTTGTTTCATTTATTCTGAGTTATAGGATTTGGCAAACCCTCTGGTCTATTCTAAAATTGAT